AATGTGAGGAGGCTACAGTGAAATACAATGGTATGATTTCATGGTTTCGCTAATGTCAGGTAAGCACTTCAGAAAAAGGTACTGTGAAACAGAAAACAAATGAGATTTTAAAGACTTCAAACTATTTCCAGTGGGTAGCTGTAACCCCTGCCGCGCCTCCTAAATCTTCCATTGTGCCAAACATTAAACATCTGACATACTAACAGCATGTATCTGTGGCACACTTTTAGAAAGAGCCACTTCTAAGAGGGAAAAATAGGACATTCCCAATCCAAACAAAAACAGACTCTGTGGCTGGTTCAGCTAAAATCTTTACCAAGACAACAATCTGTTGGCAGACAAAGGCACTCTGGAAAACATGCTCATTCAAAAGCTTCAAGTTCCACAGCTCTGCCTACAATAACAAACCACTTCCAAAGATAATGGAAAGCCATCCAACTTCAGACAAACAACTGAATGAGGTCCAATCTTACCAAAACCTATAGATAGGCAAACACTCTTGGGTGGGTTTCGGACTCCTTTATTCTATTTTTTTAATATTCCACATGGGAACAGTTTTAAAGCCTGAATCACCACGACTAAAGCACGGCACAGGATGTTGGACATGTTTTGAAGGTGGTTTTCCACTGTGTGCAGAGAGAGAAAGAGACGGGGAGAGAGGAGGAGAGTGAACGAGCAAGGAGGAAAGAGTGACTATGAGCGAGAAACACTTGTGTGGCATGTTTCCGACAGGACAAGGATCACAACACAAGCAGGAAGTTCGTCCTGTTGAGCAGTGGGAGTGTCCGAACAGCCCTTATCTACCGTAAAACAAGTATAGAATGTCATTAACTAGTAGAATGAATAAGTTATTACAAACCTAAAGAGGCTAATTTGTTAAAAAATGGAATTACATTTTTAATCTCAAATTGTAATCTTGCTCAAAACAGGGTTTGGAGGAGTCCTCCCTACATTTATTTGGTTCAGGAGTGCATTGGTGTAGAAAACTCAAACTTGATTACTTCTGGAAAGAGCTGATCAACTACATTGATGTCCTTCAAAGATAACCAAAGGTAATTATTCTGCAACTTCACAAAACCTTATATAATGAGCTGTAATTACTTTTCATGTGTGTCAAAAATGGAGAAGGAAAAAAAACAAAATGGGGGGGTGGGGGGTGTTTTTCCAGTAATGCCATCGCAATCTGGGTCAACACTTTACAGGAAAAACTTGTGATAGGCAAGCCTTGTTTGCATACCTGTACAGCTTTGTTTGTCACATAGCTGCATGTCAGTAGAAACTGAAATCAGATACCTCCCTGGAGGAAAATGTGCTGACGACACCAAAATATGAGGCAGATTTGCACGCTTTTATTTGCCCGTGGCTCTTTTAATTACAGGTGAATAATTTTATTATTATTTTAACCTTGTCCTTTTTTTTTTTTAATGCATCTCTTCTAACAAATACAAGGAAACCCATGACACATGAAAACACATATCACATGCAAGCCTAAATGTGCCCTTGAACTCTCAACCAAGAGGTTTCTGTCATATTTCAGCCTGCTTAAAGATCAAAATGACTGGGTGTGCATCAGAAGTTAGTGAGGGTGGTTTGTGCCTATCCGACTAACCTTGGAAAAACCCGGAAATCACTCATATGGTCGTCAAACCCCATCTGTATTGATATATACTGAGGTGTCAAAACTTATCGTCAAGGGTACAGGGGAGGTCATCAAATGTTCTCTTTGTGGAGTCAAAGGAAATATTCTAAAGTCAAACTGACTGTACTTTATTCTGTGCAGAGAGATCAAAAACACATGAGTGGAAATAAACTATGTGCACCATATGAATTAGACAAGTCAGACGTGATGGCGTGACTGCTTGAGGTCAGGATATGGTATGAATATTGGAGTGAACAAAGAGTGCACAGCAGGTGTTTAGAGAGGGCTTAAACTCACTTTTTTTTTTTGCTTTTTTGTGGTGGCGGTGATGATTGAGCATGTACATGATCACAAAAATGAATTCATACTTGGGTTTCCTGCATAGAGGTTTGTTTTTTTTTGGGGCAAAAGCATCGTTTTGGTGTGGTGAGTGACGCGTTGCTTGTACTGTACAATTATGCTTACATCCATAGCAAAAACTTAAAAATATCCACTGTGTGCCTGAAAGAAAAATCTTGTAATATCATTTCATTTTAAATAAATTGCCCTCCACACAACATACTGGTGGGCAGCCTGCTTCTGCACAAATCAACGCAACGAAGAAAACCTCCACTGATGGGTACATAACATGACTGAGCTCCATTTAGTGACACAGCCAAAACTAAAGCCTCATCCACATAAACAGCAATTTATCCATTAAATCTGCTTTATTTGCACCACCTCAGAGGTGAGATTAGTTTCACTTGCTATTTGGCCAACAGTTATTTCCCTGTGATCACTACAGAATTACACATGCCATGGCCCGTGTTACACTGCAGCTAGTCTGTTCTTGTAAGTACAATCCTCACGACACACTCCAAGAGTCCCTGCAATGTAGTCTAAAGGCCATTTTGGTATTTGCAGCTGTCAAGACGTGCAAGATTGTGATGATTTTAACAGCCATTTCAATGATAGATCAGTACAGGGGCCCAAAGAGTCCCAGACTGTGCAGAGGGAGATGTTGCAACACAACCAGACCAATCGGAAACTCCAAAACATGAGACGCAGCGGTGTCTTTGGAGTTTTACCTATGCTAACACTGTCAAGGTAAACCACTAAAGTTGAGGAATTACTTAAGCATTGCTGATACAAAGTGAAGCATTAGCTTACGGCTGATTCTTCACCTTAAATGTAAACTGGTGGACGATTTAAGTGAAGTGAGTTTCTTTTGTTTGAAAACTTGAAGCAAGCCTACCTATCAGGATAATCAGGTGCAGCTAAGTTTTGAAATACCAGAAGACAGAGTCCTTGCCACACTGTCATCAGCAAAACAAGCAGCAGAAAAGCCCAGTATTACATTACTGTTGTAATGCCCAGCTACTCAAAAGTGATGTAAATATTTTGAGAAAGAAGTGTTTACACTACAAATGCTTAATGAAACCAGACTGATCCACTGTTTTCTAGATTGGATATGCAACCTTAATCACGAGGGATGGGCAGTGTACACGCTGCAGGTCCGAGCAGAGTGGGTGGGGTGGCAGTTGATAATACAACACTGGGTCATGGTGAATAGGCCACGTTGTGTGGTAGTGACGTGTCCCAACAACATTTAATCAGGAAGACGGCACAGTTTCGAAAGAACTTTGAGCCTCCTATACTCACTGCAGACTAGAATTACATTTATTCCAGAAGTATTGCACTTGTATATAAAAAGCAAAACTCTCAGTAGTTTTTTTACTGCATTCAGACTCAAATTGAAATGCTCCAGACTTTCTCTAGTGATCAATTAATTAACAGTCAGTGGAAACAACTCTTCAGCTGGGAGCCATTAAACAATAGGAAAATAGGAACAAAAGTGTAAGTCCATAATTAGAAGTGTGGCAGCCATTTGTGCTAGTTTGTTACAAGACAATGTGTGTGACAAATAAGTCGCATACTTCATGTACACGATTTATGCATCAAGTCTGTTAATCACCAGTTATTTGTTACGTTTTCACTGCTATTATTCCTCTTCAGTTGTTTTGGGGGGGTTTGGCATTTCTACTCAGTTGTTTTGTGTAATGTGTAAAGAGGTACGTATTCCAGTGTCTCTGATCTCATTTAAGGGAAATGTCACCAGGGCCAAGCTCAGGTGTTGACAAGAGGAAGGACAGAAAAGCAGCAGTAGTGTCACAGCTGAACTGAAAAGAAAAAGTTATCCAGCCATGCCATTTATTAAAGTAGAAAATCTGTTATGTCAGGTCCGTTTAGAATGGTGTCATCTGCTTGGTTCTAAATACACATATAAAGCAACCGTGACCACACCAGTTTTCCTCATTTAGTAGCGCACATGGCGCTGAATGTGTTCAAACTCAAAGATTGATCATCTTATTTGCTCAAACTGCAAAAGTTAACACAAAAACAGAGAAGAACTCTCAAATAACAGCTTCTAAATAGTTAAATTGATTGCAGCTTAAAACTGCAGATATTTAGTGTTAAGTGGCTCTGGCATGTACAATCAGCGGGGCCTGTGTGTTCAGGCAGTAAAGGCTGGGCACTGGACTGACAGCTTCAGTCATACGTTAGTGATACCGAGACACTCCCAGGAGAAATGCTGTGTGTATTCAATGATAGACTCCTGAGAGTTACAGTTCACTGATTCAGCCCCAAGTCAAGAAAAAATAAATAAATAAAAATCTTTTTGGGCAAATAAGATGAAAGCAGACCCATGTACCTTATTGCCTCCTGAGCCAGCAGCACAGAGCCTGATGTACAGAGACAGGAGGAGGGCCCACACCCTGAGGAAATTACCAACAGGAGTAGCACCAGTGTGACACAGATTTTAACATCCTTGTTTGTATTCCTCAACTGCACTCACATCTGACACTGTTAAGAAACTGAACAGTATTCCAGTCATGTGTAACCAGTATCAAACAACAGACAATACTAC